GCCCATCCCTGCCATACCTTGTATTGAATAAATTGATATGATCTGCTTTGCAAAATAGGGTCACCCATTGTACTGTCTTAGGTATTGTTCTTCTGGACTCTCCACCATGCTTTCTCCCCCATTTTCTTCTAGTGGAGTTTGAGAGTCCTTAACATTTTCCAGTTCCAAGCTGCTGGGGGTGGGGTGGTGGTTCATCAACGCATCCTCCTGAATGTGTTAATGAAATACAAAGAATGTATATATATATAAATGACTATAAAACCATTCAGTTGAGAGTAGGGTGGTGGTGTTATGCTGGTGTAGATGATGAGATATCCTCTCCTATGTGATAATGGAGTGAGCCGCCAAAATTGCAATTCACCCCCTCGATTGGGATTTCTCATCCTACCCCATGTGGATGTTGGTTCCAATGTGTGGGTTTTGGATTTAGAGCTGAACTAATCAACATAAGTCCTCACACATACATTATAGATGTCTCTATTCCCTCACTCAATTATGCTCTTGTTACTCCATCCGTTTTGTGGATCATGATGGAGGTACTTGCAGATTACTACAGTTCTTCCCCCATCCACTATCCCTATGTTCTTATTATTCTGAGGATGTTATTACGATAGGGGTAGTTGCTGTAATTTTAAATTTGAGTTTGATGGTTTACATTACACAGACACCTTTTTGATGCCAAATGCCGGATTCCTGGATCGATCGATCAATTTCTCACATTGTTATTGTGTGTCCTGTTCATGGGTCGGGGGTAAGATATTTCCTGCGGTATCTAGAACTTGAGGTGAAGATGGTATGATCCTCTTCCCTACTCTCACCAGATGACTGGGTTTTGGATTGTAGTTCACTTGCCTCTGGTATGATCCCCTTTCCTACCTCCATATGGATGTCGGGTTCTCAGTGGCCAGGTTTTGGATTGTAGTTGACTTACTGATGGTATGATCCCCTTTCCTACCTCCATATGGATGTCGGGTTCCCAGTGGCCAGGTTTTGGATTGTAGTTGACTTACTGATGGTATGATCCTCATCCTACCCCCGTCTGGATGTCGGTTCCCAGTGGCATGGGTTTTGGATGTAGTTAACTTGCCATGTACAGTCAGTTGCATCCTAGCCATTCTACACCTAGGGGCACATTCTTTAATCTTACCCACTTTTATGTTTTCCAGTATTGAGTTTAATACATATCATGTGGTTCGGATCCCTATCCTGCCAGAGTTCTCTCCCACTTGGATGTGCTCCTCCGTCTTTCCACAATGAGCAAAGATTACACCTAGTACAGAAGTGGTGCAGTCTCTCATGCTTCTTTCTTTCCCTCACATTGGTCCCTCCACCTTTTCAATGTAGGATTCTAGCTATTTATGTGATGGGAGGTAACGTACCATATCGGAAGTTATAATTTTCCTATACTGAAACTGTATTTCCAATATGTACATACCCACTCTCACACTTCCAATCCTTCCTCCCCACTGAAAACCGGTGCTTCCATTTTCTGACAAAACTTGAAGTGATAGTTCAGTATAATTGATTAGATGGAGTCACATGTGTTAAGTACCTATCAGAAATACATTTTCAGCATAGGAAAATAATAACTTTTGAAATCTGAGTTTGGATTTTCACAGGTAGCATTTGTGCTTGTGAAAAATTTCCAGTTTTGGTTTTCATGATTAATATTTTTAAACTGTAGAATTTTTCTAAATTATCTGTTTTTCTCCAATAACAACTTGAAATGTTTAATATTTGATATCCTACAGTTACATCCTGGCTTCATGAAAGTTCTCCATCTGTAAACAGAAATCCTTCAAAATGACCCTTACCAGATGTGGCTAAAAAACATGATTTAATTCATGTGAAATAAACACATTTCATATCTTATTTCTAACACTTCTAATCTTTATTGGTCTAAACTTCCAACCATTTCTGTGTGTATAAGGAAAGGGTCATGATTGGTTAATTCAATGATATGTTTTTTTATGTGCAACTGAGGTTTTACAGTATTAATTGGGCATCCATATACAAGGTTTCAGTATTAACTATTCTCTTGTGATTATCGGGTTGATCCATCTTGTAACATGATAAGTTGTAAGTTATTTCTGGATTTTTTTTTCTAAAAAGTTCAAATTTGACACTCATAGTTGTCCAAAATGGTTAGAATGCATCTGAGAACAAGTACAACCCCAGAGCTTTTGGAGGCCTAGACAGCCCCCAAACTCCTGGCCAATAACTTTATTTCAGTTAAAATGATCATTGGACACTTACCCATGCTGGCTTCTTTTGCATACAAATATATGATGTACATATATATTCCTCCTGAAACCAGCATTAGATCTTTTACTGTTGTATTTTGAACTTAAAAATGTGACAAATAGGTGATATTTTGTGGATTGGATGAGTGTGGTGGAAAGTAGCTGAACTCCTGAATTATGATAATATGGAAACAAAATAAATGTTCAATGAGCTTACACTGTGTTAGGTTTTTTTCTTGTTTAGAAGATGTATTCTGGCTGAAGAGCTTATATTCTCAAGAAAATTCATTATTAATTTGGTAAAATATTCTTTTTTTGGTAATCACCAAGTTTTACTATTTTGTTTCAAACTTTATTTTGAAATACATAAAAAAATTTGATTAAACCAGATATTGTGGAATGTTGAAACAATGAGATGGATATTTTTGTCTGTGGTAGTTTTATGAAGAGGGATGGTTAAACATTGTGATGGATATTTTTGTCTGTGGTAGTTTTATGAAGAGGGATGTTGAAACATTGTGATGGATATTTTTGTCTGTGGTAGTTTTATGAAGAGGGATGGTTAAACATTGTGATGGATATGTTTGTGGTAGTTTTATGAAGAGGGATGTTGAAACATTGTGATGGATATTTTTGTCTGTGGTAGTTTTATGAAGAGGGATGTTGAAACATTGTGATGGATATTTTTGTCTGTGGTAGTTTTGTAAATAGGAGTGATGAATGTTTAATTAAAACTCTGTGCATGGCTCCAGTTAAAATCAAAATTCTTCCCTTACTGTTAAATTTTTTATGGTTTATACCTGTTTATATAGCCATGTTTGCAGAGATGTAACTTGTGGGAGGGACATTTGTCTTCTCTAAGAATATAAGAAGAACCTGAGACTAAAGTACCAGTTTTATGATTTTTACTGTAAGACTACAGAACAGTCCAGTGCCAGGCCACATATTATTGTATTTTTACTTTATAAAGATCAAAGATCTTCCAAACACTGTTAGGCCACTGTACCTATATAAAACTTTTTCCCCTCCCCTAAGTTAAAACTCAAGTTGTGTTGATGTGGTAAGCTTCCTCTTAAATAACAAAACTAAGTTAGCAAACTGTGGGTCAAATGTAACTGGAAGTAGCAGGTTTTTAGAAACTTCAACTGCACATAACCAAAACGTAGTACATACAGTGTAAAGAAATAATCTGGATATTAAAGTACGTTAAATAAAGCTTGCTTGTACTTCTCAGACTTGGAAAACTCTTGTCTGAGTTCATGTCTACTTGTGTATGTCTCATTTGATATTGACATACTTTATGTAATTTCCTATCTGACTATGTTTGTGTTGTCTGCTCATACTGTACACTTAGCTTTAGTGGTTTTGTTTTAATAGGTTCAGAAAGACCTGCACATCTACACTAAGAGATTTGGATGTAGTGAAGCAGTAGTTCTTTCAACTGGTGAATGTTTTTCATCCTGTCTCGAAAACTCAGCAGTGAGCCTTTCGAAAACATCCAGACTGAATTTAAAGACTGATTCACACTTCCATCACTTGTGGTCTGAAACTCCTGGTGGTGATGTAGCCAACAGCTGTGCTTGTGGCCAGTTTACTAAGACAGAACTGGAACCGTGCATCTGGTATTCGCTCCGGTGGGGAGAGATGGACTTTGTTTATGTGAAAGATGAGCCATGTCCAGTTTTAAAAAACTCCCAGTTGAGTGTCAAACCATCAGTTATCATAGATGGATGTGCATCTCGCTTGAATGCTTATCACGTTGCCATGGAAACAACTTCAGCTCTTCTTCGAACGGTGTTATATATCGAAGACAGAAATTAGTTCATAATTACTGGAAGTAACAAACTGAGCTGGTTTTTGACTCAAGAATTTAATTAGAAATTTCCAAATAAAACTTGATGTATACGTGTCTGTCCTTGTTATTGCTAATTCTGCAGCTGAGTGTTAACTTCCTCAATCAACATTCTATGATGACTGTCGCAGTTATTGTAAAAATATTTCTTTAAACAATAACTGTTAGAGCTCTGCATGTGTCAATGTACACCATTAACTGGTATTTCTCTACCAGTTTTGATATAGTAACTTGTACTATTATACATGTTAACCAATCAGGTTATTTACTACTTTTATTATGTAATAATTATTATTATTAAACTGACACACAACTTAGAAAATGGACATAAATTCAACTAATTTATTGGTATTTAACCAAGTTTTTGTCCACTAACATGTGCTGCTATCTGTTAATAAATTGGAAAACTGAGATCTGTTCATCGATATCCATCAAGTGGTGCTATTTCTTAAGGTCTTAAGAAATTAATGTTCTTGTTCAAATTTTAACAAATGTATTTATACACTAGAATCGGTTTCAAAAGAAATGACTTCAAATAAGGTACAACAATGATTTTTAAGTTAGAGAAAGTGGAATAGTAGGTACATTTCTTATAACTAAACCATATCACTAAATAGCATTTAATAAGGCTCAGTACTTATTTTGCAGCAACGATTCTGAGGTTAGAATTTTATGTGTTTTATGGATTTATACTCTTTCGTTACGTGTGGTACTTTGTGGTGAGGGAAAGAATCTTCAAAGGGTTTTTTTTTTGTTCTTTTATTTTTCTCCACTTCTCTGGATTAGACTGTTACTGTGAGATTCTGTCCAAATCTGTTAAACTACTATAATTCAGTGTTGTTTAATTGAAGAATTTATTATTGGCTAAATTGCTGTTGTCTTCTGAAGCCCTTAGTACAATGAAGTGTCTCGGAAAGAGAAGAAAACTAGAGAAAGTATTATTCACGTGGACATGCTTGCTGATCTTGGTATTTTCAAATTTCCACTGTAGTATAGTTAACATAACAGAATTAATAAAGATAGTAGGGAAGAAGTTTTAAAGACAAAACTGTAAGTAGAACTAGAAAGGTTGACAAGAAACTAGATCGTCTCGATACCGTACATTACTTCCTCTCACATAAATAGCTGTTCTCATTCAGTGCTGCCCTCTATATGCAAAATTGTTTTGCACATGCCACAAACCTTGAAGCTTCCACCCACTGGAATTGAGTGATTCCAATGTGTCTCGCATGTAAATCATTATGCGACAATCCTCCACCATTAAGAGTGCGACATTTTCTCTTGACATATGCGAATCCCTCTATTCAATTCTACAGAATTTTCACTTCTCGTTTGGCAATACTCTTGTTGTAACATTTAGTTTGTGCTCTCTTCGTTTTATTTTAATTTTTTTTCTATATCTTTGTATTAATTTCTCATAACAAGTTTACTCTTTATTATACAATAGTGGTATTTGTAACTAGAGTTATTCTGAAGTGGAATTATATTTCTACTCGATCATGGAACTTATTACTTCATTACAAAAATGTTATATTTATTTCTGACAGTACGGTTGTGTTTGGTTATTCGTTTTGCATTATGAATTCTACGTTACCACATCGGAGGTCATATGTTCTATCAGCATATTTACACAGGCTTCAGGTAGCAGTACTCTGTGGAAAGATTTTCGGCTTTACTTTGTGGGGAGATTGATCATCCCGTGAGCTGAACCTTTGTCGGGCCTCCCTCGAGTCTGGGGGCGCACACATTTTGACATACAGTCCGCCGACTTTGGATGTTATGGTTTTTTGAATAAATATATTTTGAATATTATTTTCTGTAGTTATTTGAGTTCTATAACATAAGTTTCGTTAGATTGGTCGATACTCATAGTCCAGTTCAGGTTAGACATTAGGCTTAGTTTTATCTTTTCACCGATACCAATGATACCAGGGGTTCTTTGTAATTTTAGGATTACCTGTAACTCATATTACTGATATGTCAGTCATTCGTTTAATTATATTGTTTTTTCCTCCCCATACGTCACGTCTCATACATATGTTATTGTTAATACACACTTATTTCACTTTATAACTTAACGTTTATGTAATTTTCGCTACTTAACTTTTATACTTCTTCATATAAACTTGGTTTATGTGAAACCCTTGAGCCGGGGTCCACACTAACTACTTTCAATATTGTACATACTTATTGTCAGGTTAAGCTTTTTATTTTAGAGCTTAGTGTTATCCCTTGTCCTGAACTGTTCGATTAGGCTTAAGAAGTGTTATTTTCTGTTTATCTGTGGTTCTACTTGTGGGTTAATCAATAGTTAGATTCACTATTTTATTTTCTTCAACACAACATGTACGTTTATTCCACTACGCACTTTCTTACCATTAATTTTGTTTGTGATGGCCCACACATTTTGACATATAGGTTCCATAACACAAGTTTCATTAGATTGGTCAATACTCATATTCAAGTTTAGGTTAGCATTAGTCTTATTTGTATCTTTTCTCCTATACCATTCAGTTAAGCTTACCATGGTCTTTGTTATTTTAAAATTACCTGTAACTCATCTTACTGGTATATCAATCATTAGTTTAACTGTATTGTTTTTCTTCCACATATTATGTCTCATCCATAGGTTACTGTTACTACACCCTTACTTAATTTTATAAAATCACATATATTTCATTTTCGTTATTATTTATCTTTTATCCATCTTCCTATTCACTTTGTTTGTGTGGAACCCTTGAGCCAGGGTCTACATAAACTTCTCTTGATATTGTACATACTTATTGTTAGCTTAAGATTTTTATTTTAGTTCTTAGTGACATCTTTTGTTCTAAATTGTTCGATTAGGCTTAACAAGTGTCTATTATTTTCGGTTTACCTGTAGTTCTACTTACGTGTTAATCGATAATTATGTTAAGTATCTTTTCTTCAACACATAACATCACATACATATGTTTATTTCACTACACAATGTTTTAACATTTCCACTATATCAACTATTTCATTTTCGTCTTTCTTTAGAGTTTATATTTTGTTTGCTACCTGTTCCTAATTAATATTGCTCACCTTCCTCCTATAATGGCTGAACCCATTTTAAGATGACCTATATTTTGTCAGTTTACCTCCACCTTGTCATGGATTGCTTTCCAGGGCTCTACTGTAGAATCTGCTATGCCTATTTCAGTTCTTTTTTTAGACACCTTTCACAGTATATTCCCCTTCTCATGAACTTTTTTCATGATGATCATTGTTCAATGTGGGATTCTAGCTACTTGTGTGATGGGAGTTAATGTACCCTATCAGAAGTTTTAATTTTCCTATACTGAAAATGTATTTCTGATAGGTACTTACCTCCTTTCACACGTCCCACCCTTCTTCCTCACAACAAAACCGATGCTTCCATTTTCTGCCAAAACTCGAAGTGATAGGTAGAATTGAATAGAGGGAGTCACATGCGTCAATAAAGAATGTGTGTCTCTCTCTTATTAGTGGAAAGTTGTGCATGATGATTTGAATGTGACACATTGGAATCAGTCAATTCCAGATAGGTTGGGCTTCGAGGCTTTTGGCATACAAAAAAAAATGCATATAGAGGGCAGCACTGAAACGAAAATGGCTATTTATGTGAGGAGGGGTAAGTACCTATGGGGAAATACATTTTCAGTAAAACTTTCAAACTATACATATTGTTTAACAAAATATATTTGTTGAATAAATAAAAGACAAGTGTTAATCAAGGAGACATGGCCTTCATGAATTCATAGACCAAAGTGTTTGCCATCTGAGTTAGTGATGCCAATTTAAATATAACATACAACTCTTTTGACTTAGTGTTACCAATTTCAAGTGACACAGACTATATATAGTCTTCTCCATTACTACTAACACTTGAAATGACACACTATTAATACTGTTACGCCTCCAGTCGTTTGTTGAGTTTCCATAAATTCGTTCCGACGAAACTTTAGCAACACAAGTCCTTACTTAATAAAACTGGTTTATTCTTTCTGAATATAACTTTACGATACACTTGATTTCAACATTCGCGCTAAAACAAACGCTATAACGAACTTCAACAATACTCTCTGACTGCAGATCAATTACTCACTACCTACACACATTGTTGTCGTCACGTTGTGGGCGTCTTATATATATACCAGACTAACATATATCTAGTAAATGCTAGGGCATTCACGAAGGTACAGGATAGTTCTAGAAACGTGGCGTGACACTAGTCACGTGACCTCGCTGACGCAACAATACTGTCACTTAAAATGACAGATAAATTGCTGCTGTCTCATACTTAAGAATCCAACTTTTTTTTGTCGTAGATAAATTGTTGAAGTCTGAAACATAAGATTCAATCTGTTGTTCATATTAAAATTTATGAATGCTTTTGGCCAAATGCAAGAAGTGTACTTACAAAACACAAGATGGATGTCATTGTGTATTAATATGCGGCGTTATTTAACATATTTATAACTGTTGGTTAAATTGACAACGAATGTTGAGTAGTTTGATAAGATCATACTTCAGTTTCTCTACCAAACAACCAGAGCCACTGTCTCAGATCATTATCTGCATTAATCCAAGCCAGCTGTTCAACATGAAGTGTGAGTCACGCTGCTGTAACCAACTAATATTCAATTCCATCAGCTTGGAAGCATATGTAATCCTATAAATGTATGCAGTTAAACCCTCGCATTCGTTTCGTACCTCGAGATTTACTGAGTAGTTGAGAGTAAAGTGTGTTAGAAAGAAAAACATATACATGATGGTTAGTTAATCTGGGTTTAAACTCTCAAATAGATAAAAAAAGAGGATACAAATGATCTCGGAGAAAAACAATGAATGTACCTCATTCGAGGTGGATATTCCACCTTTAAAATTTGTGTGAACAACAAAATTATTTAGTTTTCTTTATAGCCGTAAGACAATTGGAAAATAAAATTCAAAGCTATAGCTGTAATAAATTTTTATAACTTTTAACTCTCGTTCGTTCCTAACAAAGTGGCGGAAGTCTACTAAAAATACGTTACAATGGTGGTGTTATGTCTCC